ACATCCCGAAAAAAATGTAGGACTACATTTAGGTCAGACGTTGTACGAGTATCACAAACAGATGCAATGTCCTAATTTACACAACCTAGGGGCTGGTTGCCATATAACATCAACGTTTGTATTGACCAACCTTCTATGATAATCACAATGTAGATACGTATACTAGATACTATACCAAGCAGTTTCCCAGTGATGGCAAAGAAGAAGAGGAAATGAATTCCTTTGTAGCAGATGAAATCTTACAGGGAATTACCGACTTATCTTGGAAGATTTAAACGAGTTAAGACGTGTCGGACAGACCCCCTGCTTCTCCTGACAAGACAGAAATCACGTCTTCCTGCTGAAGGTGACCTTCATGTCGTCACAGGTCACCTGCCCGTGACCCCGCTCCCGGGAACCTTAACCTTTGTGTCAGAGGTCAACAGTCAGTTCGGCCACAGATGCGTTCCATTCGGTGTCAGTGTGGACAACAATAACAAATAGAACTGGGCCTAAAGTTTGCAATGTGGCTGTCGTAAGTCTAATATGGTCAATAATCAGTTGATAAATTTGGTCAAAGTCTCGCTAAAAACCTTACTGGACAAAAGTATTGCAAGAGGAATATGACTGCCCGAGCGAAGACACAAGAAATGATGCTCCTATTTTACAAAAACTACACAGAGAAATTTCTACGCGGAAACAATTGGTGATTATAGGAGTTTTTCGGGAGGCAAATTTGTGTCCTAATGGCCGACCAAGTCTCCTCATAAAATACATGTATTCTACCTATTTTCATCAATGTGTTCTATTTTTTAGTCCTCCATTTAGAAACGACTTCACCCCAGTCCGTTCACAGGTGACAGCAGAACTGTCAGCGCTCACCGCCCTGTGTAAAGTGTGTAAAGTGTGTAAAGTACTCGGACCGACCCGACATTCATGTGCAGCAAGTGGTGCGTTTCATGCAGGTACATACATTTGTAAGGGAGGCTGCATGGTGGTGGTGGTGGTGGGGGGGGGGGGCTAAATTATCGCCGCCGATTACGAATTACGTTCAAGTCTCAGAGCTGATTACGACTTTACACTTTGCGGCTTATGTAATATTACGAATTACGTTGATTTTTGGGGAGGCTGCCTATGGACTACGAAGACTAAAAGGCCCGATTACGCCTTACGAAAAAGGGCATACAGGCCCACATACACAGTCTCCAAGCTCGGGGTTTGGCTTATTATTGGCGTGATTTTAGGCTTTTTTTCTCATCTGGTATCTTTTTTAAATTTACTAACTGAACGTAAGAAAGTACCAGTGCAAAACTAAATCCCGATAAAAAAAGCCTGCCAAAAATAAGCCAAACCCCAAACCTCTGCTTGGAGAATAGCAGATACGCGCGTTTTAAGGGCCAAGTGGGTTGAAAAAAAAAAATATCTCAGTACAAAAGGAAAACCGGATAAAACGGCTAAACACCTCAAATTTAATCCAAAGCCTAAACCTCTGCTTGGAGAGTAACATAAGGGTCCTTCAGGTCATTGTGTTTAATGGATGAGACCGACTCAGAAGCAGCTGTTTACCTGTTCTTACTGATTCAGCCACAAACTGTGGATTAAACTGAAGTGGCGTTTTCCTGTTTTCTGTTCTCGACTGAAGAGGAAAACTCGCTAAGTGGGTGGGGAGGGGAAGGAAAAGGGATCAGCGTGTTTGCACTGTGAAAAGGTTTTTGTGTTAGTCAAACTGCAGGTTAATTAAAGGCCACTCAGGGAACCGAGACTATCTGGTCTGGAGGTCAGTATATTACGGGAAGGTTTAACAAGCAAAGAGGCTAATTATGTTAAACCATGGATACACTTGGGGTTGCAAATATTTACGAGAAAGCTCTTTCCTTAAATGTCTAGCAAAAGAAAATATTACAGTTAATGGTTACTTGGTAGAAGCAACAAGGTTTAAACCTTGGTAGAAGTGTATTTACCAGGCTTCGGGAGGCGGTTGGAAAGAGTAGAAATTGGCCAAATAGAGAGATAACATGCCGGGGGAGTTGGTTCGCTAGACAGTACATTTTGCCGCATCCGAATGTACTCTCCAGCGGACCAACTCCCCCGGTAATTATCTCTTTATTTGGCCAATTTCTAGTTTTTTCAGTCGCCTTCCGAAGCCTGGTAGAGGCTAGTCCTTTGGTACTTCCGCAGCTACCCCCGCAAAGCAGCAAAATGGGAGATGAGATACTCTCCAAGCAGAGGTTGTGGGGGAATGATCGTTACCTTTTTATATATGGCCATTTTTTTTTGTCCTGATCCCCACCGTCGGTGGCCGCGGAGCTTCTCTGGCTAAGGGATACTGCCTGGCCAATTTGATACTGTCTTTTTGCCACCGATAGGGATCTGCTTGGAGATTAAGATGAGAGAGGTCGAACTGTTTCGCTGCCGAGACGAGTGTGTTTTCCCGGCGCTGACATGACAGGGAGCGGCGGCGTTCCGCGCGGCGTGGCGTGGCGTTACGGAACGTTCCGCGTCACCCGCGCGAAACCGCCGGCTGGTACTAAAGGTGACGTCGCGCGGCTGACTGCTGTCTGGGAGGGCACGTTGGCCACAGTAGGCTGCATCTATCATTATGCAGGTTACTTTAAAGTATACTTAACATTCTTTCCTAGAACTATATCACTATGGAAGAAGCTTCGTTGTGAATGCTGCCCAAAACTTGACGTTCACCTCTAGGGTCTGTACAGTTCCTTAATGTAACCCAAAAGTGGTTCGTGTGAGTCTTGAGGTGAAAGTTGAAGTAAATGATTAAAAAAAAAACAAGTAGATCTTTTGGTAGCTGTAACACAGTATCAAAATGACAAAATTACAGGGCAGTATCCACGCAATACGCCACTATTTGGCTCGCGAAAAAAAGACACCAGTACAAAAAGGAAAGCCTGATAAAAAAAAACCTTAAATACGTCAAAAATAAACCGAAGCTGTCCTTGGAGAGTAGTTTATATTCTCACTGATACCATGGGAGGACAAACAAGACTGTTCATGTATCAAGATAACAGTCATGTATATATATATACAGCCTCGCCACAGGCATGTCGGGTCACCCAAGGTCAACCCAATCTTCTCCCCCCCAACAAGGAGCCTCATTAACTCCTCAACAAGATTAAAGACATCATAAATAACCCCTGCAGACCCTCACGTCCCGTGCGTAATAACGGGGTTCATTCAGACCGGGAGAAGGCGGGCATTGTTGTCGGGCCGGCCCGCCGCGGCTGCCCGGGTAGGTAAACACGGGCGGGCCCATTACTTATGAAGGCACAAAGCCTGTACGGACGGAGGGAGGGGGCGTCTGTTGTTAGTCTCCACATGCCCGTAGCCAGGATATCTCCCCCCCCCCCCCAACACACACACAGACAAACACACATACTGCGGCATACAGGCATGCATGCACACAAACACACACACACACACACACACACACATACACACACACTTACACAAGCGCACAAACACACACATACACACACACACACACACACACACACACACATGTGTGTGTTACGCCAGCTGGTGTGTTACGCCGAAAGGCGGTTATACCGGCTATACAGATACAGACAGATGTACACACGAACATACACACACACACATACATACATACATACATACAGACACACACACACACACACACACAGACAAACACGCTCAAAGGTCCAGTTTTCATCTAAAGGTGGATTTTTCTTTGAAAGGTGAACTGATTTGTAACATCAGCGGGACTGGAATTCCTCTTTGTCTCTGATTTCTCCTCTCAAATGAGACAAATCCTCTAAAAACTCTAGAAATGCCATTTCAGAAGGCCCAATTTTCTAAATTTTCCGGGGTAGCATGCCCCCGGGACCCCCTAGGAACTTGTGTGGTTCAAGGCCAGAGAACTGGAAATCTTATACTTATAGAACTCTAAGATCATATATACGTCCATTTGTAAAGACAAGAAGAATTTGTAGCAGTACAGAACAACTTGAGGGTTCCTACGCGTTAAGGTTAATTGTATCGACAGGCACGTACAACAAACCTGACTCCTACTAGAGCAGTTCTAAAACGCGCGGTTCAAGGCCACGAACATGCAACAAATATGCTGGAATGTACGAACAGCCTTGGGGCGGACATAATATGTTAAGTATACTCATGTTTACAATACTACTAGCTAAAGAGTATAGTAACTGGTTTAATTAAAAGGCGAAAGAACATTACCCTTGCCATCAAAGATAAAGCACGGCTAAAGATCGCGAACATAAGCTACAAGAAAACATTAAAAACGCAGGCTACGCTGTGGGGTGCAGATCTTGTTGTTTAGTTTGTCTTACTGAAAAGTCTTGCTGTCAGAGACTGAGAGAGTCTCGGTTTGCAGCAGGGTAGAGGAAGAGAAGAAAGGAACCGGCGCGTTCAAGGTCAGCTACAGCCGGCAGCGGAAACAAACTGGAGCTGCGACGCGTGAACTGCTGTTTACATCCAGGTCTACATTGTGTTGGGTATATGATAGAGTGTAGGAGGTTTTTAATACCTGTTTGTTTGGAAAAGGCGTCTCGGTTGATATGTTAAGTAATGAAAGGCAGAAGTTCAAATGTAACGTTATGTCATTATGGACAGTAGAGGCAAGAAACACAACATGAAATGTGGAGTTGTACATAGAAACTTTAGTATGAAGGACTCTTCTCGACCAAATACCTCTAGCTAGATCTCAAGTTATTTGTTGTTACCTGATCAAGTTACAACAGGTGAGAACCCCACACCTTTGGTAATTGGATATGTGAACAGTTAATGAGGAAATTGCAAAGCTGAAGACAGAACCTAGTTTCTAGTTCGGCCATCCAACATGGAGGCACTTCGATAATACTAGTATACCGTAAAATTTGACCCACACACAAAACCACTGCTGTGGCAGAGACACGGTAGACACAGTAGACCCCCACCCCATTGAATTTCAGCACATAAACATTAAGATTTGTACGTGTACAGCGCTTATAACACACACATATAAACACACGGTACTGTCTCACCTTCCTGGCCGCAGCACAGCGCCCAAGCCGCCGCCAGTACAGCCAGCCAGGCCCCGGTAGACCCCGTTATCCTCTTCATCCCACCGGGCCCTCTCTAGTCGCTCCCTCGGTCTCCGCACGCACCCACCCCCGCCAACTACACACACACGGCCCGCTAACCGGCCGGCTGGATCCCACCGGGCGGATCTAACCACTCCCTCGGTCTCCCAACGCACCCGGCCCCGCCGAGTCCACACACACGGCCCGCTAACCACCCGGCTGGCACGACTCCAAATCGCAGATTCCGCGCGGGGCTGCCGAATCAAATCAAATCTTCACTCCCGTAAAAAAAGGCGCGAGTTTACCTCAGAAGCTACCAAAGTGTCGTCTGCAAACGGTTCACCCTGCCCAGACGGTGACGAAAAATCAGGTGAGAGGGTTCAGCTCAACAGGAAAACACGTGAGAAAATGTCCCCAGCACACTACAATACATTAGTATAGCTATCGATGAGACTTCCCGTACGGATTATAAGGCGCGAGTTTCTCTCAGAAGCTACGAAAGTGTCGTCTGCAAACTGAGACTTCACCCTGCCGCCCTACCAAGGTCTTCTCGAGGCTCAAGTACTCTGAGGACGCCTTCTAAAGCCGGGGAACGTCTCTCAACTTGCCGCAGTAGAAAACTCTTTCCTGAGAAGAATCCCGTCCTTCCGTACAGCCGCTGAAGGTCTGGAAACCGGGAGTACTGTTCGCTACAAAAACCTGCTCAAACTCAGCTTTCCAATCACGCAGAGGTTGAAAACTTCCCTCTAAACCGACCCGGTCTTTCGCACTTCTTCTCCCACTTCTTAGATCCTAGCAGCGACTTTAAGACTTTTACTCCAACTCAAGGACTGACAAGACGGAAGACAGTCAAGTTGGTACTGTTACTTAGGCGTGTATCCACCTGGCCCTGTGTCTTTTAAGGAACTGGGCTATTATCTAGACCCCTTGAGCCAAAAATAGCGCCTAGCATGACGAGACAGTAGGAAGGAATAACCGATCTCGGTACTGGTGTCCTGACGTCACTTGGAATAGTCCATTGTTGTAAAGGGGGTTATAGGGCACAAATGTAAACTTTATCATAGATTTCTCGCGTATCAAGTTCTAGCTGGCTTATTTTACAAGTTTCCTACCTTTCTCTGCACCTTTGTGTGATACAAATTAGATATTACGTAGCCAAAGAAGGAACAAGAAAGAAAGGACGGGTATAAGAAAGCTCTGGCATGATTATGCATTGCCTACAATGCAGTTCTACAATGCCTCGCAAGGTGGTAGACAACAACGGTGGTCGGACAAATCCTTGTGTGTCTTCGGCAGAAAAAGCTGTAGCTATCATTGTACCAGAATACTAGTACAAGGACGAGCATGCTAATGTGAACGTTTGCAGCAGGTAATTGATCATCCACGCAGTGCTAAATAAACTAGACTGAGATTACAAGACAAAAATCGCACGTTAAGAAATATGTAATGTAGAACTCTTAAAAGTCTTAAAAATCTCTTAGTGGGGTCGTGTGGCGTAGTGGCAGAGTGCGCGACTCGGAACTAAGAGTCCCGGGTACGAGTCCTGACATGCTACCGATCCTGTGCCCTTGGGAAAGGCACTTTACACGGCTTTCCTCACTTAGCTCAGGTGTAAATGAATATTGTCCTGTAATGTATTTGTCCCCTGTGTTGGTGGCGGCATTAATATAAGTTGAAGAAACTTGAGTGTGTCGTCGTCTTGTGATTACATGTTGGAATAAATAAAAAAAAAACTCTTAAAAGTATTCCCTGGCTTACATGATCAATTCACAAGCCGGCAGCATAAAGGCGAATCCTCATGAGGTCATTCACACCGTTACTACTGACGACCAACGAGTGCGCTGTGAATCATGGGAGCCCTACCGAAACTTCGTAGTCCTCATCTGCGGACGTAAGGGGCCAGCTCTGTCTTCAAGACGCCGTGGCACCTCACCTGTGCGTATTGAGACGTCAAAGCCAACAGTTTTCGGTTACTGAGAAGTCTGAGAACCTTGCAGAGGTCTTAAAGACCAGGAAAAGGTCGTCAATCTCTCCCAAGACACGTCTGAAAAAGGTCAAGGTAAACCCGGAAGTAACAGGTGTAGACAGAGGTGCCCTTGACAAGAGTAGGGTATGGAGTACAAACACATAGAAATATCAGCATATTTTTCCAGCATACAGATAAACTGTTGATGTTGAATGCATTAGTAAGTATCGACGCTATGTTTGGATGGCTTTGATGGTATTTAAAATCATGATATTTTCGCTCTTTCGACATATTTTAGACCTGTAAATAAGGCTTGTGCTGGCGAAATTTCCACGCGATGGTTGTAAATAGGCAGTAGTAAGGCGGTTCAATTGCTTGGAACATACAACGTTCGTATCTTTACGTCTGTGTGTGTTTCTGCGATACAGGAAAGGAATCTAGCTGGTCTTATAGTGCAGCAGGTGTCAGGTAGACAATGTTGTGCTTTTTAATGTGTATCTCTTTTCAAGCTATTTTAACATGTAATCACTTGTGCAATTCAGCCAAGCAATGCATATTGGCTGCCAATCAATGTGAATAAAGCAGTTTCAGTTTCAGGTACTGTATGCAGCACGGTCAGCTATGGATGCAAGAGAACGGGAGGGGAAAGAAAAGGTAGGCTAAAAAATTTAACGGCTCTCAGTGGCAAATGTGCAGATGTTGTCACACCGGCGCACCAAATCCGTAGGGTGTTTTTGGCACACAGTTAGACCAGAGACATTGTACAATAATGTCCTTGGTTAGACAGATTAGCCTAAGAGGCTCGGTGGGCATTACTCCACCGTACAGGTTAGGTGGAGAAGTCGCGTATAGTGCCTTTCCCAAGGGCACAACGTCGGGCCATGGTGAGTATCGAACCCGGACCTATTGGTTCCTAGTCCAACGCTCTAAACGTTGCGCCACCGATGCCTCCTAATATGGTTTTCTGTTAAGGGACATGACAGAAAGGCACAAATCAGACTTTGCATAGACGACTGTGTTTCACCAAAACAATCAATATTTTGACTTCCTTCAATATGTGTAGGCATGTTCAATATTAGTATCTTAAACGCTTTCCCTGTTGCCTAATCCTTAGTGACCTTTGATAAACCCTAAATCATATTACATTTCAGGTAAGTACACTGACTTCCATGATCCTATTTCCCTGTCAGAAGATATCACGACTTATGACTAAGTAATTATTAATTATGATGCCGAAATGACAGTCTTTGATATGGGTTGACTTGTTTTTAATGATACCCATGTTTAGTGAACATAGGAGTAATAAAACAAATCAAACAACAAAAGTACTTAACCCTCAACAGAACACCTTCCCGGACTGATTAATCTGTACACCTGGGGTCCGCGCGGACCCCAGAACAGTTTTTTGCTAATTTTTAGAAATTATCAACATGCTACCAGCTCAATTGGTTTGCAAACTGATGTGGGAACCTCTGTGTCCACATTACATACAAAAATCATACATTTTGAACTTTTTCTATTTTTGGTGAAGAAAAGAAGGCAAGAAGAAATACCCGATTTTTAAACCCATTTCAGACTGAAGGGGCTTTTGAGGCCCAACTTTGATCTCAGATAGCGGCTAAACGGCTTGCGCTAGAAGTATCAAATTTGGAGACCTTTCCTAAAATGTCTCTGGAAAAAAGTTCATATTAGTTTTGTACTAGTAAGTTGATGTTTTTTGTGTTGCCATGGCAACGGGTAGTTTTTTGAAAATAGAAGTAATTTTGGTTTAAACATAAAATTTTCTGAGGTTTATATAAAATTACACTTCTTTTCCAACATTAATAACATCTTACATAATTAAATATAAGTTAAATCATTTAATATGCATAGAATATGCTAATTTGATGACGTCATTGGTCAAAATCCAATATGGCAGACTATATTATTAGCTCTGACGTCATATGACGTCATAATTACACCAAAGTTATTAAAAATTAATTCTATTACTACACCATTCTTTGAAAACTTGGTAGACATACGATGAATGCATAAAAACATATAAAAACGGAAATAAGGTAATGTATAAGAACGCCAGTGTATCCATTATGATCGAAAGCCGGCTGGGGTCCCGCGCGGACCCCCAAAAGAAAATCAGATATAATTTTTTTTTATAAATGGTAGAAACGGAGTTTTCTGCACTGTATTGAGAGACAACTTTGTGGGTGACAATTACCTAAAATTTCAGAAAAAAATCTTTAGAAACAAAAAGATATTATAGAATATATAGTGCTGGGGTCCGCGCGGACCCCAGGTGTACTGTTTAGGGTTAAGCCATGGCAAGTTCTTCCTGTGTCAGATGTATCAACAGGTGGAGTCGTGTGACGTAACGGTAGCGTGTTCTGCTCAGGACCAAGAGGTCCCAGGTTCGAATCCTACCATGTCACTAATCTTGTGGGCATGGCTTTCATCACTTCACCCTGATGACAATGAGTACCTAGCTACGGTTAGGGACGTCCCTCGGATAGGACGCTAAATGGAGGTCCCGTGTTTGGGGAGAGTCACACCCAACGCACGTTAAAGAACCCTCCGCACTTATTGAAAAGAGTAGAGGTCCTTCCCGGTGTGAGTGGTTCAAACCTTACAGTCCGGTCTTACGCACCTTACTTACATGTACAAAACCCCGGTGTATTACGCCTAATGACAGTTTACCGGTTATGCCAAACAAACAAAGTTGTTTCTCCCGTTCCTGTCTGCCGCCGCTATAGGAGCTGCAGAAGGCTGCAAAGAAAGGAGTCACGGGCAGAGTGCAGCAGCTGTTAGCGGAGGGAGTCAACCCTGATGCTGGTGGTGGCTATAGGGTTAGTTACCTTGTTCATATATGGTGATGAAATATTTAAGGCTGTGCAAAGAATCAACATGTGGGAGAGGCAAACATTTTCTATCAGCTGTGAGAAAAATGCGAAATTGACTATTTTTGAATAGTTACAATCTTCGATTTGCACATGGCGATGATACACCATTCCTGTAGCATCTTATCTTGTGATTTAGATATCAATTGCATGCTATTTTTCCCCCAACCATCTTTAAGATTCAACTTACTTTGTGACATCTGTGCCAGAAGCTTAACCAGCCCCTATTTTACTTCTGCTGGTTTACTTGAGCCCGCCCTGTTACTCAAAACCATCTGATGTGTTTTACAGCAAGGAAGTTCTCTGCACAAGGCAGCCTATCATGGGCACCATGGAACTGTATCAGCTTTACTGAGAGCTGGTGCAGATGTGAACGCATGGGACAACAAAGTAGGTATTATAACATGTGACATTCATCTTTTACTTAACTATTTTTTGCCGATTACCATTTACACTGTTACCAATTCTCTCGTCATACTGAATACCATCTGATGTGTTTTACAGCAATCCAAAAGAACCCCTCTGCACAAGGCAGCCGAAAGGGGCCACCATGAAACTGTATCAGTTTTACTGAAAGCTGGTGCAGATGTGGACGCACGGAACGAGTGGGTAGGTAGACTGACTGTTGTGAACCAATATGTATATATAATGTATGTATATAATGTATGTATAATGCATCTTGTTCATCATTCACCTTGTACATATCATTTATTTGCTGATTACCGTTAGACGTGCAGCTGGTGCAGATGTGAAGGCATGACCATGGGAGCATATTGTAGGTAGATTGAACGACACAATTAGCAAAAATGTGTATAGTGTTACGACATGTAAAAATATACATGTACAGAGGCTCCTGACCATATCTTACCCTGTTCCATAACTGCAACAGGAATACACGGCACTCCATCTCGCAGCTATACAGGGCCACCCAAAGTGTGCGGAAATACTGCTGCAGCACGGGGCTGATACCGGCATCAAGAACGAGGTCAGCTGATTCGTCATCTCCTCTGAGAAAGATCTAACCACCAATCAAGAAATAAAATAGTAATTTTACCTTTGAGGGGGTGGGGGGGGTGGATGCCACTGTTTTAAAATGACATACTTTTGCTTACATTATTGGATCTATCTTTGAGCGGATAGGGAAGTGGCTGTCCATGGCAAAGGAAACTGTTGCAGGCATAAACGGCAACATGACAACTTGGCGCATGTTTTGATAGCCATACTAGTACATTAACGCATAAAAAAAGTTTTGCTTTGCTGCTGTACGTAATAGATAGGGGATTTTTTTAGATTTTCCATACACATTAACTTAACATTTAGGCATTTTGTCCCTGATATTTATAGTTAATGATGATTTACAGAAAGGTCGAACGGCGGAGGGGATTGCTGCAGATGAGAACACCTGGGGCTCCTTTGCGCAAATGAAACATCAGAAAGAACGAGTCACTCGTGGTAGAAAGGAAATACTGGAGCTTTTCCGAGAACACAAGGATGTGAGTCGCTACAAAACCTATTGGAAAAGTGATAAAAGTACAAAGAAATCGCAAAGGGTTAATGCTGTAACTAATATAGTATAAAGTTGATACTTCAGTAGTTGCCTGCAGGCAAGAATGCTAACATTTTAAATTCTCAGATTTTCCTTCCTACTGGCAGGCTGCGGGGTTGCACAATGACTATAATCGGTATTGCGTAAAATAGTCAGCTACGATGCCCACTTCTGGTTATTACCTCCGGAAAGAAGGTTATGTTTTGGGCAGCGTGTCGTGTGTGTGTCTCTCCGTGTAAACATGATGTGACCTCAAAATGATAAACAATACATCAAAATCTCCACATTTGTAACAGTAAGTTCGGCAGCTTCTAATCACATTTTAACCAACATCATTTAAACCATTTTGTTACTTAAGACCATTTGATGTGTTTTACAGCAGTGGAAGGCTTTACACAAGGCAGCCTATAATGGCCAACATGAAACTGTATCAGCTTTACTGTCGTCTGGTGCAGATGTAAACACACGGGACAACAAAGTAGGTACACCGAATGCTGTTATACAGGAAATATTTCTGTGATATCTTGTAAGCTTTAAAATTCATCTTAATCTGTATAGTCGTTTATTTGCTAACTACCATTTATACTGTTAACAACATAAGTGCGCATTTGTCTGTCCTGTTGTCATGAAGAAGACCGTTTGATTATTTTTACAGCAAAAAACGCCTCTGCATCTGGCAGCCGAAAATGGCCATCATGAAACAGTATCAGCTTTACTGACAGCTTTTGCAGATGTGAACGCACGGGACAATGAAGTAGGTAGAATGGGTTGTGATGAAAAAATATATCTGTACCATTTTGTAAGATTTGACATTCGTTTTCAGCTGCAGGGTAGTTTATTTACTAAATACTTTTAGAAATGTCACAAGTGCATTTTTTTACCGTCCTGTTGTCGGGATGATGATACTCAAGACCATCTGATGTGTTTCATAGCAAAGTTCTCCCCTGCACGACGCAGCCTGGAATGGCCACCATGAAACTGTATCAGCTTTACTGGCAGCTGTCGGTGCAGATGTGAACGCACGGGACGTTGAGGTAGGTAAAATAACTGTTGTGGCCTTTATCTCTTCCAATGCGGTTTATTTGTTGAATGCCATTAGAACTGTTTGTCGGTCCTGTTGTCCGTCCTGTTGTCATGCGGAATACCGTTTAATGTGTTTTGCAGCAAAGAACTCCCCTGTACCTGGCAGCCTATAATGGCCACCATGGAACTGTATCAGCCTTACTGACAGCTGGTGCAGATGTGAATGCATGGAACGATGAGGTAGGTACTAGATTGATGCAAAACTATTTCTGTTCCGCTATATAAGATTTGACATTTAACTTTTTTTTCTGTTTAAAGTTAAAGTGACACTTATCTTCTACATAGCGGTTTATTTTCTGAGTATCATGTAAATTGTTACCAACATAAAATGTACTTTTGTCCATCCTGTTCCCATCCATGCCACTATCAATCGCAATCAACAATCAGTAATTTGACATTTGCCATGCGATGTATGTGCATGTAGATTGTATATTCACAAAACCATGGGCCATCTGATGTGTTTTACAGCAAGGAACTCCTCTGCACTGGGCAGCTGGGAATGGCCACCATGAAACTGTATCAGTTTTACTGGCAGCTGATGCAGATGTGGACGCACGGGACGTTGAAGTAAGTACTAGATTATTGGTCATGTCATTTATGTACTAGATTATTGGCCATGTCATTTATTTTGTAACATTCTTGTGTCATAGAGTATGATTCTGTTGAATTTCTCCTGTTAAATTGTAGTACCACTACTAATTGCAATCAACAATCAGTATTTTTGACATTTGTCATGCAATGTATGTGCATGTAGATTGTAAGTATATTCACAAAAGCGGCCGTGGAAGGCTGAATAAATGTTTTAATGGTAACTCCAGATGTATCCTGAGGGACAACTCTACTTAATGTTATATGCATGAATATGGTTCTCTGGCCACACTAAGATTACACTGTTCCATGCCTGTCAATGCCCCAACAGGAGAGCACCCCCCTTCATGATGCAGCTTCACGGGGCCACCCCAAGTGTGTGGAAATACTGCTGCAGCACGGGGCTGATACCAGCATCAGGAACAAGGTCAGTTGGTTCTTCGGAAATATCTAAGCACCAATCCACCAACATAATAGTAGCTTTACTTTATGTGGAAAAAATAAATATAAATAGTAGGATTTGTATATTATGGAATGATCAATCTTTAGTGCAAGTCAATGGAAATCACTGACCGAGGCAAGGGTATTCTTTTAGGAATAAACAATTCGTGCATGGACGCCTAGGCCTATTACTAGTAATCAATTTCTTTCCTAACATGGAATTTTCTGCAGTACCTTCTAAATAGGGGATTGTTTAGAAGTTCCATACACATTGACTGAATGTTGTCCGCACATGTCAATTTCCAGAAAGGTCGAACGGCGGAGGACATCGCTGCTGATGGGGACACCACGGGCGCTTTTGCGAACAACAAAGATGAGGAAGAACTAATCATTCATGGTAGAAAAGAAATACTGAGGCTTCTCCGAGAACAAAATAATGTGAGTCGCTACAAATTTTTATGTTACACAATCAAGTATTATATCTCTAAAGAATATAATTGCCAAACACCTTGGTTCGCAAATGGCTAACGCTAAGTTGAAGATGGTATAGTTTATAAAGTTGATACTTCTGTTTGTAGTTTCCTTGGCAACCATGCTAAACATTTCAAATTCACTTATCTTTCCTATTGGCAGACTGGAGAGAGATGCATTGTGACTATCATCAACATTGCATATAAATATTCAGCTACAAAAGCAGTTTGCATGACCCGCTTCTGGTTATTACAGGTGATTCAGAAATAGGCATGTGACCTATCTGAGACGTGTACGTGTGCTATTGCATAGCTCAAATTCCGGCGGCCTACAATATCTTGAAGTGTGCTTGATGGAATAACTTTGTTTTATAGCACTGCTCCTCTATCAAGAAAAACTCACTTTCATGTGTACGTGTTTGCAGAGAGTCTCCAAACGTAAGAAGGGGTTCGATCCTGTACTCGTCCGGTACTTCGAGAAAGGAATGACCAAGGCGAAAAAGGATTGTCCTTTGATAAAAGAAGCAGCGAAAGAGAGTGGGAAAACAGAAGAACAAGTGACTTGTCTTTTTGATGATAATCAGTTGTAGCTTAAAGCAGGAAAAAATGTTTTGTGCTGTAAGATTTAGTCCAAATTATAGAATGTAATCTGTGAAAATACGTTATTTCATGCTGTATATATGCAAGGGTATTGGCCTAATCAAAGCGTATATGTTACAAATCAATTGTGATACTGAGTATCAGACCGGTTATTAGTAATCTTAAATGCCCATTCAGACTTTTATCGGCAACTACCGCAAGAGTCTGGACGACAAGAAGCGGAGACAGTCCACAGACGACACGGCCGCTGGGTACAGTGGGTTCACGGGATATCATGAAGACTCAGGAATGTCGGGTAGGGCACAAAACTTAACTAACGTTAATCTTAGCTCTAAAACAATTCAGTACATTAAATTCTATCAAGATCGTTGGTCGGACGTTGGCTATTCTAGGTTACGTTAGACCCATCAAAGCATAAACCTTTTTTCATTAGATATGGAATATATTGGATACTAGTATTCAGTCTAAAACTGGCAGACTTTCAGTCTAACGTTTCTTGGTATTTACATGGGTACGCTCTTAAATGAGAAAGATTACAATGAATTATCTCACTTATGGAATTGATTAAAACTGATCCATAAAATTCACACTTTCAATCTGCAGATGAGGACATCAGGAACAATGATTATGAGAGAGAAGGAGTCAGTCAGAGCCAAAATGAAATATTGAAGCTTCCGCGACAACAGAAAGATGTGAGTCGAGTCTCCACAACAATTATGTAATGCAATATGATGAAGTATTATATCGTTAAAGTAAAGAAAACTGTAATGCATTCTCAAACACTTTGACAGTTAGTAGATATTCATCAATCAGTGACGGTTTAGAAAGGTAGCAACACGCACCTCCAAATTTTTGACGTCCAAGATATGTCTTTATCACGGAGTGACCTATTCTTGCGAGAACACGAGACCAGATCGAGACTTGTGTAGATCTTCTGGCCTCCTTGCCGAGTAGAGGTAAATAGGACTTGGGCAGCTCCCAACCTTCATTACGATTCATTCCTTGATACAGCATGATCCAACTGACTGTGGAATGCCTCCTTGATCTTTATGTGGGTCTTACGTGTTTCTTGATTTTTTGGAGGTACGTGTTTGCTTCCTTTTCAAAACAGTCATTGATTGACGAGTATTCTGCTGTTTAAATCTATACGTGACTGATAAATCTCTTCAAACAGGTAATGTCATGGCTAATATTTACCATCCATTTGACAATGGTAAGTTGATGCGTCTGTTTTAGTTCCCTTGACACGTATGCTCATTTAAAAGTCGAAGATTTTTCATTCCACTTGGCAGGCATGATCATCAACATTGCGTTAAAACATTCAGCTACGAGGGCAGCCTGGCCAACTTCCAGTTATCGTAGGTGATTCAGAAATAGGGCTGTGACCTATCTATAGAAACATGTACATATATCATTATACATGTCAAATTTCAGCTACGGTATATTGAAGTGTGCTTGATAGAACATCTTTATCTTATGGAATTGCTGCCCTATCAATAAAAACCCACTGTTCATGTAAACAGGGAATCTCCAAACGTAAGAAGGGGTACGATCCTGTACTCGTCCGGTTTTATGAAGAAAGAGGAATGACCGTGGCGAAGAAGGATTGTCCTTTGATAGAGGAAGCAGCAAAGAAGAGCGGGAAAACAGTCAAACAAGTGAGGGTGAGTTGTCTTTTTGATGATACTCAGTTGTAAATTAGTATAGGCAGGACAAAAGGTTTTGTGCTGTAAGAAGTGAAGATTTAATCCGAATGATTGATGTAACTTATTACGTAAGACATATAGACGTTATTTCATGCTTTACATACATTTGTATTGGTCTAATCAAAGAGTAACTATATATAACAAATCAATAGTGATACAAATCTATCAGGCCTGGTTAACAGTAATGTTATCTGTAATGCCCATTCAGAATTTTATCGCCAACTACCGTCGGAGGCAGGCCTTCGGTGAGGGAAGCCTGCCCACAGACGACATGGCTGCTGGAAACAGTGGGTTCACAGGATCTCATAATTCAGGAATGTCGGGTAAGGCACAAAACTTAACTATCTTACTATTCTTAGCTCTAAAATACTTAATTCAGCACATCATTCTATCATCTATCATTGGTCAAGAAATTGGATATCACACAGTGATTGGACCTACATACAGGTACATACATGTAGTCATTTTTTTAGATATTTAACTTGTTTTTAAAACTGTATATTTAGAAAACCAACAATAGCGTAGAACCGAACATGTTACCTCGTAAGTCTGTTGAAAATGAAATTGTCAAACTGGCCTCCGCTGTAACATATACATCCGTACAAATCTGCTTTACAGAGGAGTCAGATGAATTGGAGGAAACCATGGAGGAAGTCTTATCGGAACAAGAAGAATCACACACAGAGACATTGTCACGAACGCATGAAGCAGTCGAGCAGTATAGCGACAGGAACAACCCCACAGGTATCCAACATAGCTACCGGTAGTACACATCAATTTATCATTAATACAGAGGCTCAGGAGAGCGACAGTCGAAGCAATAAAACCGCATTATTCCGCTAGACAGACTTACTTCCGTAGTTTCCTGCAGTTTGTCTCCAGTTTGTCTCCTCCATAGAGATGGTGGTTTCAATATACGGATTTCATGAAACTCTTAGCTAAGTGTTGTCATATGTCCATTGCAGATGAGGGCGAGACAAGTCAGGTTCAACTAGCTGATGGACCTTTGATCGTCAGGAGCGAAGCGTCCCAGATACAACCAAAGAAAGGTAAAAAAAATGTACCATGACTCAAATGCTTCTTTGCCTCTGCCTGAGTCTTCATATGTGTGTGACGATAGTCGAACATAACATAACATAGCTTATGCTGCCTAACTATCTCACATTGATTGCAGGTGGAAAGAGAAAATCCAAAACGCGACATATTGGCGAGTCCAGCGAAAGTGGTACCTTGACAAAGCGACCAAAGCAAGGTATGAATGGAGTCATGTTGTGAAAGAATTTTTTTGGAAATATCATTTCCATGGCAATAATAATTGCAGACTTACGATCCAATGCAGTCAATCACGTATACCTTTTCAAAAGTGTTCAGTTAAGGATGTATGTCCCTGTAGAAATAAGTACATTCTTTAAAGCGCTATGACAACTCACGTGGCATATATATATCTCCCAGTAGGCGATGGGAAACGTGAAAACATAATAACTTTCCCCTCATACAACTTCTCCAGCTGTATCCCAGCCTGCTGCCACCACCATTGCTGAAGTGTTGAAAACCGGAGCCAGTATCAGAATAAGAAAGACGAGTACCCTCCGTTGCACTAAATGCACAGTATGATTTTTACCATTCGATTATCCTTTTAACATACCATGCAGTGTCACTCATGTTTTACTTGATGCTGAAATTCGTTCCAATGCCTCCAGCTGTAGCCCAGCCTGGCCCCATCACCATTGCTAAGGAAACAGAAAACAGCATCAGGATCACCTGGACAGAGGCAGCTGGTACTAAAGACAGCTACAGTATCAGCATCTCTCCTACTGATGGTATCACCGCTCCTAGTGTACGTGTGAACCCTGGGGACCCACTGGAACACACCTTCACTGGTTTGACAGCAGGAACTGAGTACACCATCAGTGTTGTAACTGTCAGTGGTGGGGCAAAGAGTCCTCCGACAACAAAGACACAGAGGACAAGTGAGTACCCTGCGCTGTACTTGAATGGCTAGATGTATCAATGATTTTCACAAATACATTATTCTTTGGTTTTGCCATTTTTTGCTGTACTACTTTAGTGTTAGATGATGATGAAATATGATTGAAGCATTGACATCTTTTTATCATTCCAATACCTTCAGCTGTAGCCCTCCCCGGTGCCATAAACATTACTGAAGTGACAGAAAACAGAATCAGGATCAAATGGACAGAAGCAGCTGGCAAAAAAGACAATTACATTATCAGCATCAGTCCTGACACTGGTGTCACCAACTCCGCTGAAAGTGTGAACGCTGGAGACCCACTGGACCACACCTTCACTACGTTAAAAGCAGGAACTGAGTACACCATCAGTGTTGTAACTGTCAGTGATGGGGAGTGCAGTGTTCCAAAAATAAAGGCGCAGAGAACAAGTGGGTACCATACATTGTACTTGGTTAGATGCATCGATGTGCAATTTTAAAGCTTGATTATTCTGTTGATATCAGGAACTACCACTTTTAAATCAGTTTTGAATGATGCTGAAATGTGATTGAAGCATTGACAACTTTTCCATCATTCCAATGCCCCCAGCTGTAGCCCAGCCCGGTGCCATAAAAATTACTGAAGTGACAGAAAACAGCATCAGGACCACATGGACAGCTGCGGCTGGAGCCAAAGACAGCTACAGGATCAGCATCAGTCCTGACACTGGTGTCATCACTCCTTGTGTAAGTGTGAACGCTGGAGACCCACTAAAACACACCTTCTCTGGTCTGACAGCAGGAACTGAGTACACCATCAGTGTTGTGGCTATCAGCGGTGGGGTGAATAGTGTGGCAAGAACAGCGACAAAGAGGACAAGTGAGTATCCTTTGTTGTACTTGAATAGCTAGATGTCAATGATTCTCAAGACTACATTTACAGTTGGTTTAGGTTATCCTTTTTGACCAGACAGTGCCACTCTGGTTTAAATGATGTTGAAATGTGATGGAATCATTTGTTCCAATGTCTCCAGATGCAGCCAAACCTGGCCCCGTCACCATTGCCGAAGTGACAGAAAACAGGATCACCTGGACAGAGGCAGCTGGCACCAAAGACAGCTACAGGATCAGCATCTCTCCTACTGATGGTGTCACCGCTTCCAGTTCACGTATTAACTCTGGACACCCACTGGAACACACCTTCACTACGTTAACAGCAGGAACTGAGTATACCATCAGTGCTGTAACTGTCAGCGGTGGGGAGTGCAGTGATCCAACAATAAAGGTGCAGAGGACAAGTGAGTACCTTGCGTACTTTGCTAGATGTACATTGACATATGATTTTACCGATGAAAATCTCTTTCATGCATTATTATGTACTTTATTGTTTGTTAACATAAGATAGTCGTAAAATAATTGTTTCTCATTTGCAGAGTTCACGTCTGTTCTGTTGGTTAACTACGAGTACGGCACGTCCCATGGAGGTCCCTCTACCACAAACCGTCAGGTGGCGCAGTTTCTGCAACGGCATGGTGCTACAGTTCATGCTACAGCTGTCAAAGCATCTGAAGAAGACGAGCGGTGTGCAACAGAGGATAATGTCACCCTGCATCTGCCTGTCCAAGAACCAAGGGACAAGAGGACACCTTCTTTGGAATGGTTGACCTACTACCACAGCATCCACTACCTAGGTATACCACAGGATCTGAAGTGCATTGTGGGCCATGCAGGTGTCTCAAGTGAAGCTGCAAAGAGCATACAAAAGACCCGCTGTCAACAGGCAAAATTGGTCCTTTTCAACCATGACATACCAGAAGAGACGGAGCACTACAAGGGAGCTGAGAAAGCGATGACCGCAGGGAAGAAGATGGAAGACATCCTCGAAGATGCCAAGAATGCAGATGCCGTGTTCTCCTTGGGAAGAAGAATCTACGACTACTTCGAGACGAAGTACATGTCACTTGGAGAAAGCAAACCAGGACAACACTTCTTGTTTCTCCCAAGACCATCCCCAGTGTTTGAAGCTATCTCTGTCAGACCAGGAGGAGGGCAGAAAGTCGTGCTGTCTGTAGGGAGAGTGACCGAAGTGGACAAGCTGAAGGGCCATGACCTCATAGCACGGTCCTTGGGGGAGGTGGCACAGAAGATCACAAACGTCAGTTTGCGTGTTCGAGGGATAGATGAAAATGACTTTAAAGCAAGCAAGAAAATCCTGGAGGAGAACCTGCACAGTGGTAACATCAATCCCATCCTGCTGCCGTGTGGAACCCAGGAGGATATTGCTGATGATATGAAGCAGGCCCACTGGTCCTGATGCCGTCCCGCGCCGAGCCGTTCGGACTGATCGGTCTGGAGGCCATCGCAGCAGGCATCCCCGGTACTCATCTCAGACAAGTCAGGCCTAGCAGTCATGATCAAGGACTTGATCAAGGAGAAGAAATGCCATCCAGATATGAGGCACAGGATCGTGAAAACAAGCGTGAGAGAGTCTGACCAAGATGTCACCGCGAAGTTATGGGCAGAGAAGATCGTTGATACCTTAAAGTACTCTGACTCTGAATTTGAGAAGGCAGCAGAGTTCAAGAAGAAGCTGTTGGAGTCCAAGTACTGGGAAAATCATACCAAAACCTGCTGAGGGTCTGCGGATTGAACAAAGATGAGTAAACAGTCCTCCCCTACAGGCATCCCTGGTCAGGCCATGAAGCAATGATCAAGGCTTTAATCAATGACGAGAAGTGTCATCTGGACGAGAGACACTAGTCCTGGATCGTAATAAAACTACTGTAAAGGAGTCCGACCAAGATGACACAGCAAAGTTAATGGTGGAGAAGATTGTGGACACGTTGAAGCACTCTAAACATGAATTCAACAAAGCAGCAGAGTACAAGAAGAAGCTTCTGGAGTCCAAGTACTGGGAAGAGTCGCACCAAAGCCTGGTCCGACCTGTGTGAAGATGCGAGAAAATGGGCAAAGGAGATATATCATTGTGGACACCTTGGAATTCTCTGAGGCAGAATTTGAGAGGGCGGCAGAGTACAAGACTCCAAGTAATGGGAAGAGTCACACCAAAAGCTGCTTCGGATCTGTGGATTGAGTGACTGACTCTAGATCGCGTCCACTCAGCCACATGTCAGATTCCTTGTCGCTGATTCTGGTCCACAGACGTTTAATGCCATCATCACTGTGTGTATATATTCCAAACCAAAGCAAGACTTAACAGTGACCTCATATATTAGTGGCCATGTATAGTTTCAAATATGTATTCACTGGTGTTGACCTTGTTTATGCCATCTCTATCATGTACGTTCTAACCAGGGCAAAGTAACTAGTTGGCTTGGAACTTCTGATATAGATTAAGATTGGTGTAGCTAGGAACTTAAAATGACCAAATATTTTCAATCTTAGGTAAATTTGATTTTGTACATAGACATGTCCCGAATTACAAGGTGCCTTCATTCAATACATTTGTAATAATAATAAGTTTTATACATTGTAATGAATTGAACTAGCATGAAGAACTTGCTTCTGTACTTATGCGTTCTCAATTCACCAATAGATGATACCAGTGTTGCAAACATTGTCAGTGTGGTTCAAGTTGTTTTATACGTTATTAGCAAAAGAATGGTTTACAAACCATAACGGCTACACTGTCATTATTTCACTGTTACATATCTTAGCTAGACACAAGACGTACGTATTAGGAACCAACTATAGATTGGCCGGGAACTTTCCCTTATCAGTAGCTCCCCACTCTTTCACTAATTACAATATTGTCACTGTAAAAAAGACAAGGAGAAGAACTCTTGCATAATCATAATCAGTAACCTCCATGGCCAAATATGGTCATCTTTGATTTGATTCTGATTGAAATGGCCGCCTGTGTTCTCCCAGACGGAAATGTTACAAACAGGATGTAGCTTTCCCTTGAAGTCGTTTCCACGTATCATATTTCACTGGACATCAAAAAAGTCCTACCTGGCCTTTGAGACTTAAAGTTAAAAAGTTAAAGAGCCTTACGCCAGACAATTACTACGGTACAAGTACGGTCAAAAACAGACAGTCTGTTGTGCCCACATTCAGTATGGACGGCAACAGGTATCCACGGCCCTTGGCGATTGGCAATGATGTTTATGACCAGGCTGAACCAGTGAATCACATTCGTGTGAGAAATGTCATTAGATTAGTAGAAACGCGACAGCATACAGGCGAGTCTGAGCCGTGTGCAGGATGGCATCAGTACTCGGTACCGCAGCCGGTAAGGCTGCCACCGCGGCAGTTCAATTCTGGAGCCGCGGCGACCGAGAGGGAGTGTTCCCAAGGCCGGCAGGAGGGCGTGTATGAAGAGGCTGACACCTGAGAAAAATTAGACACAACATGAGCAAGCAAGCAAATTCCTTCAGTGTTTTCTAGGAAAAAGAAATTGTTTCATCCTTGCAGAACGATGTGTACTACAGTACAGACACTGCTTGTAATAAGTATGAAATGTTGTGTGTTAAGATAGCATTTACATTACATGTTTTCCCACTCCTAAAAGTGTATTTGTAAGTGTATCTAATTATCATCATTTATGTTATATTTTACACACTGTTCAGATCTTCTAAAGCATGATGAAACTTTTGTTTCCACAATCAATGATGTTCTTGAGTTCTTGACGCCCACACCCACCCAACATCTGCTTGGAGAACACTCAATGCATTACAAATACATCGCTGACAGCTATGCGATCTCCGTAAAAAAACGCGAATTTATGGATGGAGTACAGGTTCACTCAACCCTATCTCATAGCATACTGATATCTTTTAGGCAAAAATGCGATGTCACTGAGGGAACAAGGTTGCTTGCTACCAAAAACCAACCAACCAACCAGCCAGCCAGCCAACCAGCCAGCCAACCAGCCAGCCAACCAATCAACCAACCAACCGGTCAATTTAGTTTTGAAATAAAAAAAGCCATAAAACACGCTAAAAAGCCCCCAAACTCTGCTTGGAGAAGTAAAAGCTCCTCCCGCCATGTAATGGTCCCGTCCATCGCGCGCGGCTACACTGCAC